GGAGTATGTAGAGGACTTTTGTCCTAACCCTAACCCACCGCATCATGTTAGGACCGGTCTGTGGTCACCACTGGTCCTGACAATGTAGGTGTTTCTACCAGAAAAGATCCTAAAAATGTAACAAAAGCCAGGTGTTCAAACAGAAAATTGTCCCATCATGCTTTGAGGATTTGAGGTACAGAAACTGGGCTGCAGGTTACCTCTTCGTGCCAAGAACATGCCCAGCAGGCCAGCCATGGTGATGGTTCCAAATCTGGGTAGAAAATCTGGGGGCGGGTCTGTTAAATAATAATATGCATCTACAAAAAAAAAAAAAAGAGAAAGGAAGTAGAGCGGTTACTTTCCCAGTTTTGAACCAGAGGATGCTCACACTCAGCTGCAGATTGTTAGGAAGTTTCCTAAGTAATAAATAAACATCATGACTTTTTATTCAGCGAGACAAAACTCAGCCTGTAGCCGTGACTTCTGTTTGTGTGCCTGCTGTCAACTTACCCTCTCCTGAATGGTAAAGATTAACACTTCCCCTTTTTACAGAGACACAGGCACCCTGCATGGAACAAAACACAGCCATGACACCACTACAAACGGTTTCTCAACAAACATAACATTCAAACAGATACATCACAGTCAAAGTCATGTTTTTTTTTTTTCCCTGATCTCGTTCACACTATCAAACAGYCAAATCTCTCTGCTGTAAACATTACAGCTGTAAGCCTCAGTGCAACAACACTATTTCCTGTCAAAACTCTTGAAGTGCTTTGCAGCACGGTGCCTGCACTTGCAGTTCGTGGGATCGTGCTCAGAAACCGCAGGCGAGAGGAACCAGAGAAAAAAAAACATTCAAGGCTTGAATAACGAGGCTGCTGGGGCAAAAGCTCTCGCTTGTTTCAGAGTTCGTGGTATTTTTACTTATTCCATGTAAACATGAGGTTTTGACGTTTATGAACTCCCTTTACTACAGCACTCACGGGTTCAGTTTAGGTACCTTGACAGTCTGGACTAACGGTGCGATCCCCTCTCTGGCTGTAGTTAAGCCTCTCTCGACGGCTCCCGGACTCTCGGGAACAAACTGAGCCGGAGCAGACTCTGGTGACGGGGTGTAGATGTTTAGCTGGGGACGAAGGCAGAGGCAGGATGAGTTACGCAAACCTTGTCGTACCACCTCTGCTTTGATGTTAGAGTGTGTGTGTGTGTGTGGGGGGGGTGCGTACCCCATCTCGAGACACCAGCCCACCAGGAGGTGCTTCGCTCCCAGTGTACACCCGGATGGAGGCTATTCCCAGCACCGCTGGGACGGCCACCATCACCACCTGGGAAGAGAAAGAAAGCACATTTTTAGAGGAAACCAATTATGGGTCCTAGAAATGTTTATGGTATGTCTGTGGGCTATCCAGACNAACACAATCATCTGTGGAGACTAATCAGTGCCAATCACATTCATACACTGATGGGACACACATCAGAGGCATTGGGGTGAAGTATCTTGCCCAAGGRCACAACAACTGAGACAGSTGGACGGGGGATCAACCGGTGACCTTCCGGTTCCAGGACGACTCCCCTAACCACTCTGCCACAGTCGCCCCAAAATCACTTTAATCACTATGTTAGGAAAGGGAAAGGCACAAATCAAGGTTTCCCATATCTCATGTTGTGCCAAAAAGACTTTAAGTTATTGCAGATTCATTTTATTTTATGTATGTTTTCCAGGTTAGTTGTCTCTGCATCTCTTACAAGCTGTTAAAAATGCAGCAGTTATAGTCCAGTACTGATGGTAGCATGCCTCCACTGACTCTCTGTTTCCAGAATGATTTTAAAATTGTAGCCTGCTACATGCATGTAAAGTTTTAAGGATGCTGGACTAATGATATCAAACTGAACTATTTAAATGGCTATTTTAGATTTCTGAGGTGGAGTTCTATAGAAAGATATGAACAAGTAAWACCTGAAATGTTCCCTCTAAGCAGCACACGTACGCATTGATGAACTGCTCGAAACTGTGCATTTTGCAACGGGTAAGATGAAAATTGTTCATAATATTTCTGCTTCATCAATGTCACTTTAATATTCACAGTCACACATCTCCATGAGTGTAAAAAGTGTTATTGTCATCAAGCCAGCTATTTTCTCAGCTTATCAACTTAGTTTAAATTCAACATACAAAACAAACAAACAAACAAACAAACAAATAAATAAATACAATTTGGCATAATTACATTTCTAGTAGTGGACTGCAATTCTTAGAAAAGACTGTTACCAAAAAAAGAAACATTTAAATAAGGACTTTGCTCAAAATTTCAGCTAATTTTGTTCCAAAACCCGTTTGTTTTATATGATTAAACATAATTAACATCAACTGACAGAAAGCATAACAAAATGCACGCAGAGCACCACTCATAGTGCAGAGAATTCAGTTTATTGAAGTTTAACAACTTAAGTTTACAATCTGTATTTTTTTGTAATATATATATA